CACGTATAAGTTGGCATATTACCTCACAGACGGTATATATCCAAAATGGTCAACATTTATTCAATCTATCACACTCCCTCAATGTCCTAAACAAGAGTTATTTGCTAAACATCAAGAGGCAACAAGAAAAGATGTGGAGCGGGCTTTTGGAGTATTGCAAGCTCGATTTGCGATTGTGAGAAACCCGGTCAAAACATTGGAAAAAGAAAAGATAGGGAAGATAATGAGAGCATGTATCATACTACACAATATGATAGTTGAAAATGAACGAGATGGATACATAGGGTACGATATTTCAGAATTTGAAGAAGGTAACGTCGCTAGAAGTTCACAAGTGGAAACCGAGATGCCAACAAACATGACTAATATGTTTCCCGATCGGAATGATCTTCGTGATAAGAGTGTGCATCAACGATTGAAGAACGATTTAATCGAAAATATTTGGAACAAATTTAGTGATGAAGATTAATAAATAGTGTATTTCTATATTTAGTCATTGTATCTTTGTTTTCAATCATGCAATTAATAAAATTTCAATTTCCAATTTCAAAAAAAAATTATTCTAAAAAATATTATTTTTTAATGCTAAGAACTCCATCGTCGGGTTCACCATTGGACGACCTGTTTTGATTCGAATCCTTAACTATTCAAAAAAAAAAAAAAATACTAAAATAAACCTAAGGACTCCAAGGTGGAGTACACCATTGCACATGCTCTTACGCGTTATATATAACAAGTACTCACCCTTCTATTAGAGGTACGATTTAGATTTAATTTTTCCAACAAAACTAAGTGTGTGAAAATGGAGAGAAACAGTACTGACAAAGGAAAAAATATCATGAAGGAGGAGAATGAAAGAGAGCGTAGTATCCCTGATGATGTGAGTGAAATGATTCTCGAGAAGCTACCGCTCAAGTCCGTGGCCAGGTTCTGCAGCGTCAAAAAAAGGTGGGCTGAAATGATTACTAGTCAACATTTCGCTCAAAGATTCTTGTCTCAATCCGTGTTAAAGCCTCGAATACTATTCACATCCTTCATAAGTCAAGAAATAAGAGACGGACCCTCTTACCAGTGGTTCGGCTCCATACTTCAGGTGAAGAAACCGGAGGTGTTGCGCCAAGATCTGCTCGATCATCCACGCTTGCTGTGGGATTCCCGTATATCCATTGCCCAAACTGTCCTTGGTTTGGTGTGCTGCCACAACGAGAAAGGAAGGTCGATGATTTGTAACCTTAGTGGTGGCGGAATGCTTATGAACTTACCCAATGTTGATATATCCAAGAGGGAGGAGGCCGATTTCTTACTTGGGTTTGATCAACATAACAAACAGTTCAAGGTCCTATGTGTGATTTGGGGTCCGTCACGCATGGAGGCTCGCGTTCTATCGCTCTTGGATGGAAACAATTCATGGAGAAAAGTGGATTGCAAGACTCCGCATATTCCTGTATACCGGAGACTTTACTTAGATGGTAAAGTTTATTACGGAGCAGTTCGTCCGGAGAATAGGAAATTCTTTTTCGTAATGTGCTTCGATCTCCAAAAGGAAGAGTTAAGCGTCATTCAAGTACCGGCGGAGGCCGACTGTGATACTTTGGTGAACATTAACAACAAGTTAGGCATTGTCAGAAACTACTTTCCTCCCGATCCAACACAACGTCCTCGTGGTATTTGGATTTATGAGTCAAAAATATGGTCTGAACTACCATATAAAATTTCCTTAGTTGGCCTAGTCAGTGAGAAAGTGCATTATGATTGCATTGGTACCATTGGCACCGACCTTCTTGTATTCGCACCCTATCATGTCATTGGAGATTACCTTCATGTCGTTTACTATGATGCTAGTGCTGGCCGACACACTATAACAAGGATAAATGGAGTTTTACCTACCTTCAATTATTGTTTTGAGGCTTTCCTGGACTACGTAGAGAATCCAACACATAGCTCCATTGAGGGCATTAAAAAGATATGTTCTCCAACGAGACACCCATGTGATGAAATTATCAGGTATTCCACTTTTACCTTTCTATGTATATGATACATTTAATCAATGAGATGTTGAGTATGCTATCTCAGAAAAGCTTGTCTAATTTTCAGACCCGGAGCAGAAGATGACGTTGTCGGAAATCCGTAGAAGATATCAACCAAGACAATATTATATATGGCTTCTTTTTTTTCTTATGTAGTACGTGCGTCTCATTTACTACTCATAATAAGTTACAATGAGCAGGAGCTGTTCTCACAAAACAGTAACTCGCTCGAGTATTAGACATTTTACAAATAATATAATTGTGTTGAATCGGGTATTAAAATTTTACCAATAATGTAATTGTGTAGAAACACTATTTATATAAAGTTACTACACCATTCCAAAAATCGAGACATTCACATGTACAAATTTCTTAGATATTGGATTTAATTTACACTAACAAATGCATGCAACATATAAGCCTTTTAGAAGAAAAAAAAATGCATGCAACACATCATCATTGGTCACATGATCATCCAAGAGCCATAAACATTTTAGAAAGGCAGCCAAGCAGTCTTTGTTTGTGATCTTGAATGATTTAGGAGTTTATCCAATCATCTTCAATACGGCTTCCAAGGGAGCTTGAGCCGAAATCTGCAGCCTTCATAAAGCTCATTACGTGATGGAGAAGACATATGCAGAGAGGGAAAGATCTTGCCGCACTCACACAAGTATATAATATGCCAAAAAATAAAAAGCATTATCTTTTCCAAAATATATAATCACCGAAGTCCTCTAGGAAGAGGCTTCTTGGCATCGCATCTTTTATATATCTTCAGGGAACTTGGGATTGGAATTGTAGCTTATAGTCCTCTAGAAAGAGGCTTCTTGGCATCAGGAACCAAACTTGTTGAGAATCTTGAACACAGTGACTATCGAAAGGCAAGTACACAACTGATTCAGTTCTCTCTTGCATCTTGTTTGAGTATATTTCAAGATTTGAACTCACCTTTCTCTGTTCCTTGTTATATGCTATATTCACAGAGTCTACCGAGATTCAAAAAGGAGAATCTAGATCACAATAAGATTGTCTTCGAAAGAGTCCAAGCGATAGCAACAAAGAAAAGCTGCTAGTATTTGTTGGCTATTACTCAGATAATATTAAAATAATAATAACTCAACTTTGTAAAATTTTAGCTTATTTTTCCAATAGTGGACGACACTAATGGAGACTAAGACTAGTCAAACATTCATACAAATAATATAACGGGCTGTGGATGGACTTTTTCAGTGAGATTGTATGGAGTGGACTATGGAGCATTAGAGCATGTTTATTGCTATTTTTTTTAAAAAGTTGCTTAAGTGGGCTAAGTCAACATCAAAAGATGAAAAATAAGGGAAGCACCACACTTTCTATTGTTTAATTAAGCAACATCTTTTCTCTTTTCTTCCTTATTCCTTTTCTTTTAATTATAAAATACTCTAAGCAATTGCCTTAAGCAACTGCAATAAACCTACTCTTAATAATGAACCACGTAGGCCAATCACCTTACATGCTGTAAATGGGTGAACTTCATATGTTGTCTCTTCCATCTTTTTTCTCTAATGCCGTCAATCTTCATTTATTTTCGCTATAATCAATTGGTGTAAGCATTACATCTTTCCTTCTAATCATAAATACTTCAAAATTTGAACAATATATATGTATCGTGTTATATCGTTTGTTACCTTTTCTATTCTATATTTTCATATAGAATGGAAAACATGTTATTTGCATTTTGAAATTTGGGTTTAGTTTATGAAAGATTGGAGTTAACTTTAGATTAGGATTTATATTTCCATGTATGGTTTAGTGATTAGTGACTAGGATTTAGTTTATGAATGATTGGGGTTGACATTGGATTAATGATTAAGGTTTAGTGAACATGTATAATTTCATTTGAAGATTAATAAAGTGTGTTCTATTTTGTTCACCAATATGTTACATACTATGTTTTTGTTTCATTCTATTTGAGTTTAGGGTCGATATTAAGATTTGAATTTAGTGATTAGGATTTAGGGTTTAGTATTTGGAAGGTAACAGTTAAAGTTTGGATTTAGTGATAGCAATTTAGAGTTTAGTATTCAAAATTTAGGTATGGATTTAACATTTAAGAGTTGTGTGTTGGGTTAGAGCCGTATACTATTTCGGTGATATGGAATATAACTCTCGATGCATATGTATGTGGATAATAAAGGATACGTGGATCATCCCTCATTCTTTCATTTGAAATAGTTTTCAAGAAAATTGGGATTTATATTGATATAGGTCGTTTAATGATTAATTTAAAGAAAATTTTGGGTTTACATTGTATTAGGGTTTTAGTTTTTAGTTGATAGGATTCCGTTTATTTCATGATCTATACTATTTTTTCATGTAGAATAGAAATTTATATAGTTTGTTTCTCCGTTAGCATAAATTGTAACGTGTATAGTTATTATGCACTCATCTCGCAATATTTTCTTATATCATATGTGTTAATTATAACTGGTCTATGCACTCCGTACAACTATATCCCACAAAAAATAATCACATCACTTATTTTAGGATTTGCAACAAACCTATTACGTCATGTACTCTCTTTTTCTCTTACCAGATACTTGTTAATGATAAGAGTGTAACCGACTAAAATATGAGACAAAATTTAATTACTTATCTAGTATTAAAAAAATAATAATATCAAAATCAATATTATTTTCTTAATTTCCACTCAAAATATGGATACTGCGCAAATTCTCCCTATCTAATTTGTGTCTTTTCTTTTCTTTTGTATGCTGTTGTGTCATTGGTATTACTTTTTAGTTTGATATTTGTTTAAGTTTTGTTTTATCATTTTACTTATAGAAGAATTACTTATCATGTAAAGATAATCCTCGAACGGAAACATCTACCGAAATTTGTTGAGCAAATTACTGTCAGGTTTCTATTCTTTTCTGGATAAAAGAAAAAAACTCTTCGACTGATCAGCTCGATGACATCTCCTCCGGTTGGAAATTTTAACAGCCGAGAAGACTCTTGTTTTGGGCTAATGGGCATAAGTAATATAATTAGACCCAATGAACATGATAGTGTTTGTATATTAATTAAGGCTTGTGACTTACGTTTCTTAGTTGTATAATCGGGCAACTTTGTTATACAGCTTTTTTTATTTTGTGAAACACTTTATTATACAGCTAAGAAACCATATATTAGTATTAGGATGCATTGTAGAGTCGGCACTTCATTGAATTTTGTCAGAAAATCATCCGGTGGTGGTTGTGTTTGTGCGCTCGGGTGTCTTGCTCAGACAATTCCTCGTTTCCTCAACCGTCTACGGTGGTTCGATATTGGCGTTTACCCAAAAAAAAGTTTTACCATATAGTATAATCTCTATAAATTAATAATGTTGGATTTTAAAATTTTATTAATTTATGAAAATATTAATTTATAAAATTTTCCTTATTTAAATTTCTTGTTTTAAACTATATTATTCTAAAATAAAAAAATGTTTGATTTTAGTATATAAAGATTAGTTATTATCTTTAGGAAATTGACATTTATATTAATTTTATTATATTATTTGATGTATATAATATATATTAAATATCATTTATATGTGATTTTAGATATAATATTATTAAATCTCATCAAAAATATATTAAATATTAATAAAATATAAAGATAGTTTCATTGTAAATATAAAACAAGCAATATAATGATAGGTTCTTACTAATATAAAAATATATATATACATATATATATATATAAATTATAAATTTATAATTTTAATGGGAGCATGTATTTACATAGAAATTTTTTTTAAAAAAAATTATCTTATTATTTTAACGATTTGTGTCAAATTTTGAATTAGCCTAAAGTAAAACCAATAAAATTAAAAATTTATATTAATTTATCATTTCTTAGTTGCCTTATAATCTCTTTGTCACACATATTGTGTAATGTGTTGTGTCGTTTTGTTACAAAGTGGTACACCAGCAAAATCTCAACCGGTCTAGAGCAGATAGTTTATCATCACAAGGGAATATCGATCTCTTTATATTCACTCAATATTCACTATATCAACCATATTGTTATTTAGGGACACTATATCAACCATATTGTTATTTAGGGATTCATCAATTTTGTGTGGTTTTAGGATTCAATTTCTCCTTGATGTACTACAAGTGAAGCCTTGATTTTCAGTAATCCCCTTCAGATCTCCTATCTGGCAAAAAGAAAATATTTTTCTTAAGAGGTAGTGAATACAATTATTGTTTAATTACTTTAAAGACTAGAATTGTCCTGACATTCTGAACCTAGTCTACACTTGTCTTGTATACAATTAAAAAAGATGGAATACAGCAAAGGTCTCTTGGTAGATTTTTGCAGTGTCATTATGTTGTTACTGTTTATTTATTTTACTAATTTCTTTTTATTGTTACTCCATCTATTTTATAATAAATATCGTTGTAAATAATTTTTTTTGTTACAAAATAAATATTATTTTTGATTTTCAATACAAAATTTATTAACTTTATTTTGTAATGTATTTTTCTATCAATTGAAATATAGTTAGATGTATAGTAATTATGTTTTTATATAAATATATGTAAAATTAATTATTTTTTTTCATTCGTATATAAAAACTTAAAAGGACACTTAATATAAAACAGAGAAAATACTTTTTGGTCAACTTACAACTGAATCTTACCCCAAAACAAGAAGAGGCAAATATAAAAAAAAAAAAAAAATTTGTAGCCTTCTATACCATTTACGAATACATTAAACGATATGTCGGTGTCAACAAAAATAAAATAAATGATTTGTGTTATTAGATAATACTAAACTTAAATAATGATTATTCACTAGAAATATTATATTATTTACTTAAGAAATATCTGAACATTAACCAACCTTACTTTCCTATATATATGTACGTTTGTGTAAAAGAAAGTTAATTAATTGATTAAGAAGTTCAGTTCTTATTTATTTCTCTCGTCACCTTAGAACAACAACAATAATTATTAAGCTCTTTCTCTCTCAAACTCACCTCGTATCACCATCCCGAAATAATCTTATTTATTATATAATTCTTAACATGTTATCAGTATGAAGCTCTAACCTTATACCAAACAAGGTTATATCG